TAAATAAAGCTCTTCTGACCTTAGCTGGCATGTGTGTATATATATATTAATGCTGCCCATTATGGGCACAAGCAATTTTCACCCATTTATTAATTATATGTTTTAAATGTGAGTGTTTCCTATCCCCTAAACCTCCAGGGATGTACACAGTTTAATACTGGCAACTTCTTATTATGGGAAATACGAAAACGTCTTTTAAAACTACAACTCCCAGTAGAGACGTGCCATAGATACAGAACATGTTGCGAAACAGAATAGCCAGCATTTGTAGTTCTGGGGACGGGGTGGGGGAGGGGGGACGCGGTGGACCCGTTCAAATCCAGTTTTGGACAGTCTGCGTGGTTCCATCCCATTTCAAGTGCTGTTCGAGGCTCGGCGTAACCCTCGGAGCACACTCTCCAATCACAGAGCTTGGAGACTACCAGGGGGTTTGTCAAACAGAGCACATGGTGTAGTCCAAACGATAGCTGGGGATTCTGGGTAGTGTAGTGTCTTCTGCCATCCTTTACTCAGAAAAAACATTTGTTTCTCCGAATCGAAGGGGAAAAATACAAAAGCATTGCACACAATTTAAACCAATCAATGTTGTGTAATTAACAAGGATAATCTGGTGTTTTTTAGTCGATGAGTAGTGCAGATATCACTGTAAAATCAATCGACAGTAAGAGGAATACTTACTTCCGGGTGTACAATTCTCCGTTATCCAATGAGAATGGACGCTCATATTGCCTTTAAGGGCAGTCGACACAAACGAATGCCGTGCTTCCATGAGCGTCAAATCCCGCCGCAGATGGGAATACATTGCAATCAGTTGAAAGCTATTTGCGTCCCTTTATTACGCTGAAGGAGCCTATGAGCGTCACAACTGGACGCCACGGACACTGACCAAACGTCGCTCCTGGACGCTTAGGGAGTGAGAGTGTGTTGAACAATGCTGCGTCTCAATGTCAGGATTTCTATATCTATTATAAGCTGTTTTATTTGCAAAATGGCAAAAATGTCTCGTAACCACCTTCTTTATTTACAAAAAAAACTATAAACACATTACAAAAGGCTAAAATAAATACTTTAGTAATACCAGGAATTATAGTTTAGATTTGAAGCATCTGGTTCCTGTTACAGTGAATTGTCTCGTGTTGTTGTGGTGTCAGCGGTGCCAACGAGACACAGATGATTAGCCCAACAGCAGATGGTCTGTCATGGCACCTGAGACACTTCTGTGGGAATGTTTCATTGAAAGATGTCAGTGTGGAAATGCCTGTTGTGTTGGATGAAGTCGTTTTAAGTCGAATCCCACAGCCTGCACATGGTTAGCTGCATCATTAGCATGCAGGCTAGTGGAGTCAGCGTTTCTTATGTTCATGACAGAAACAGCCCTATGCCAATCATCCGGTGTCATAATTAGTGTTAGAAAATACATTATGGTGTGATTGTATCAGAAGAAACTTTATTATTCGGTGGAAAAACAATCAATTTTAAAGTTCCAAGCTACAGACACAGCTTCCAGGTAACACTTTCTTCTTCTTTTTCCCCTTTGAGGCACATCCTGGTCGACTCATCTGTTTAAATCGATTCCCGTCACATGGTGTGTGTTATCCGGTGATTTTGAAGGTCACAGGATTTCAGACAGATTCTTGCATGTCTCTCTCTTCCCTCATATTTGTCCCCCCCCGTGGGCGATATTGATTCAACACGAGTCAATTAATCAAGACAGTATTGTTGTGTCAGGAGATGTGTCCCTAAATGTGACCTCCAAGAGAAAAGGGAGAAAGTAGAGCGAGGACAAAAATACATTATCCACATGCTTTGCTTAACTACATTTTTGAGTACCAAAAAATACTTTACCTGAATATTTCCGTTTGAACATTTTGTATTTGTCTACTCCGCTACATTTTGGAAGCTAATATTGAACATATTACTTCACTACATTTATCTGTAAGCTTTAGTTACTTTACAGAGCAGTAGCTTATACACAAAATATATTAACTACGACATATAATTACAGGTTAAGTTGTCAAGTAGCAGTATATAAAGTCATTTAAAATGGGAACACCTATATGATTAACACATGAACACATCAAGGATTATAATCCAGTTTTACCCCCACCTTTAAAATGGCTCTATGGGGCTAACAAAATTCCACCACTGACCCAAATAGAACACGAAAGACACCTTTAAAATCATCAAATCCATAGGATTTATTATAACAACACATCAAAGGTTTAATTATCCCTCCTAGGATGAGAGGCAGAACCACAGCAGTCCCCACACCAGAGGCCTCCCTCTTCTGCTGCTGCACTGGAGCATTTAAGCACTTCCTTCTCCAGGTGCACCTCGTCTGAACCTCGTTACAGCAATGCAGCACACCTGGGTAGAGGAACCAAAGGGAAAAAGAAACAGGGAATACATACAGCCGTAACACTTTTCATATATGATTCTGAAATACGCAGAATGAGAATTTTTACTTTAGGAATCCCAATATTTGTTTACCTTTTTAATTTGTCAGAAAGGTTAAATAAATATACATATATACCATTACTTTTAAATAAAATATATTAACTGTGATGCAAGGTTTAAGCCATATCATCCACAACTACACAACCTTTATCCTGAATAATGAAAGTTCAAAAACTTCATTTTTTTAATATTATGTAGATTAAATCCAGGAGTAGTCTGTGTATATAAAACACCGGTCAAATCCTCCTGAAATAAATGATGTCTCGACTCCTATCTGTTGAATAATTGAGAGAAAAAGATAGTTTTGTATTCAGCGGCTGTATTTTTTATTTGTGTGCTGAATCCTGTTTAGTTTCAGATTGCTCATGATTGTGCCTTCTCATGTTTGTCCATTTACTGCAAAAGGAAAGTATAATTATACTTTCAGTACACAATTAGATGGATGAGCTGGAATAGATGGTGTGTTGTGTGACCAGTCATCCAGTGGGCGATTTATCTCTGCACAGACACTCGTATCAGATATGAATTATGCTTCTGCATTGTTTACTGAAAGTTGGCCAGGAAGAGCAAAGCTCTGTGAAGCAGCTCCTAAATTTAAGATTTTAGATTTGATCACCTCATCAATTCAGAAAGTACGATACTGACATTTTATTTATTTATCCATCTGTTCATTCACTCATGTTTTATGAGCTATATCTTGTGTTATTATACTTCTTGTCACCGTCTCTTATTTTTCTACTTTTTGAGATTACAACTTCACAACCAGAATGACAAATTAAAGGTAGGGTAGGTAGGAATGGAGAAACCAGCTCGAGTTCGCTAGAATTTGAAAGTACGCAGCCGAAAAAAATCTGCCCCTTCCTTACAGAGCCCCTCCTCCAACACACACGTACGCGCACATGACCAATGAGGGCACGAGATAAGTTTGTGCACGAGATGGAAGGCTGACAGGCAGGTAGGTGATTGTATTCACATTGCGAAGCCTTATGCAGATTCTATTAGCTGGCATCTTTTAACAAATGAAGACAACTTGAAGAGAGAGAAAATGTATCCTTGGTTGTTGTGCAAAAGGATTCCTCTGCACCATCACATTATGGTGGGACATCAAGACAAGCTGCAGACTCCGGTGCATCAATAATCGTGGGCACATTTAATAATAAACCAGGGTTTTTCGGCTCAGTCTCTGCCAAGGTTTGCCAGAAACTCGTTGGCATTTCCTTCAGATACAGACACATTTCACTGTGGCAGAAAGCACCGGATAGTTTGTGTGTGTATGCTTTGCTCCGATGCACAAGACAGTATAGGCTCTCGCTAATGAAATCATACATTTAAACATGGCTGCAATTCTGGCCAGGAAGGTCGAGCAAACACATCAAAGCTGGTGTAAGAAACCAGAGGCTAATTGGGAACATATAGGCAGCGACGTGCCAGAAAAAGTCTGCAGGTTTTTAATCTAAACCAAACACCACAGGCAGCATTTGATAGTCCTTTTTTATCCACACACACCTCATGTCGAAGGTATGATCATATGTAGGGATTTTAGTGAGATAACCATGGATGTGTTATCCCAGTTTTTAGTGCAGGTATGTTTTGTATTTCAACACAGAAAGTTATTTGTTCCCCCTATGCAATCCTGCACAACTGTTGGTGAATGAGGAGGTTTGCAAATCACTCAAAGGTAAAGCCAGGGGAGAACACATGTATTGAATTTAAGATGAGTATGGAGAATTGTATGTAGCTAATAGAGCGCTCTCACTGTGTGGGTGTTCTGCAGCGATGGAGATGACAGGAAGCTCTCACAGTCGTCGTCCTACGCAGGGAGGCACTGGCGGCAAAACAAATTGATGCTGAATTTGATCCGGTGCATGTTAAAACAAACTTTGTGAACTTATCTCTGACGTGTGGATGTTTGTATCATCTTTAAAAGCATCTGCACTGATGCTGCAGTCTGAGAGGCAGCTCTGAGGTAAGGTGTTCAAAACAACATGACAACAAGACGCCAACTTGCTCTTGCAGAACAAATAAAGGCGCCCTGTTATACTATTTAGATTTAGGGTAAACCCTTTCCTGTACTGTGTTCTATAGGTTTTTGTGCATATAAATGCAAAGTCTGAAATCCCCTACATATTATTTTTCAAATAGCACTGCCAATTTTCTCTAATCAACACCACAAGCTGCTGAAATATAAAAATATATTTGTTCGCTGGATGTACAGGTCAGGATGAATCCCCTCATAAGTTCTCTGATGGGAAAAAGAAAGGTCAACCTGATGAATCAGAGCCGATCCGACAGACACGAAGAGCACGAGGAAATCCCCGGGAAGATGAAGTGCCCTGATCACCTTTTCATACGCCTGCATTACAGGAGAATAAGCCACTGTGCAGATCCAGGAGCAGATGAGGGATTATCATGTATGTGATGAAGAGGCCACGAAGGTCCAAGAGACCTGGAACACGGGATGTTCTTTAACCAACAAAACAGTCAAATATTTCTCTAATTTTCTACATGAACTAAAAGTTAATAAGAATATAAGACACAGAGCATGAGATTAAGATACTTGTATTTGAATCAATGCACTACAACATTGCAAGTCAATACATCTTATAGCAGTGAAAGTTGTACAAGATGGGAATAATGTAAAAACAGTTCCAAAAACAATGTATTTTCTTATGTTTCACTACAGCTGACATCCAAAGACGTTGTAATGCTGAACCATCTCCTCCATGCCCAAACAGGTAGGTCTGTGTTCATCAGCTTGACACTCAGCTTCTATGGGCCAGTACTCGATCCAGGTTCTTTCTCCAAGTACATACTGATACCTAAGGAGAGCAGAGTGAAAAACACGTTAGGTCTTCATGTGAACAGCTATCTGTAACATTCAAACATAACATAAGAAAGCCTCCTTCCTCCTTCTGGATACTTTATTACTCTATGAATGGCAACAGTAAGTGAGGACAACACATCTTGACTTTATTTAGTATAAAAAGCAGTGAAACAGAAATATCTTAAATTCCCACACCACACATCAGATTCAAACACACTTACGTTTGATGTGCATCATCACTGTGAATATCATCTGATGATCCCATGATAAGGTACGTTTTGCCAACAACCAAATCTAAAGACTCCCTGCAGTGCAGATAACTGAGGAATGTGCGAAGTTCATTCAGAAGACCCACATCAAACGTTCCTGTAATTTAAAATTAGGAGAACAAAGAAAAGGTTATGATCAAATTGATAGCTAATGATTAATCACAAAACAAAAGTACTTTATTCTCACATATCCTGCTGAATCACGTTTCTGGAAACACACTTTTTTGCCTTCTTGCCAAAAGTTATAAGGGGCCCAATAAGGTTTTTCGGCGTTTTCCCTTTCCTGTAGTGTGTTATATAGGTTTTTTTTGCATGTAAATGGTCTGCAAAGGCTAAAATCCCCAAATCCCCTCGAGAGAGAGTTTCTCACCCACAATCCCCCCCTCTGCTTGACGGCTTTGTTTAATTTCCGCAATATAGTCTTAGTGACATCACTACTGTAGCGTGAATCACACATGGAGATGGCTCTAACCCCTCAGAGCCATGGCTGACATCACAGTGACACTCTAGGGGAAGATCAAGGAGAAGATTCCCCAGAGACACAGTACACAAAAACCCATGTCACTTGATGCCCCAATGACTCTTAACAAAGGGTCCCCCCTCCTCCCACAAGGCTGGATACCTTGAACGATGGGAATGCCATCTCTGTCCACAGATGTCGATTAACTTTAACATGAAATCTTTGATTCCATAATACCTTGGTTTGCAGGTATCTACTGTAGAGTTATATTTGTATTTATTCATGTTAGCAAACTATGGATAAGCTTAAAATGGGAATAATTTGGGTAAAACTGTGAGCTGCATTTGGGGCCTGTTGACATGTGTTTTTGAGGACAAAGGAAGATGGGGGAAGGTGAGAGCATGTCCTGATTTGCATTCAACTTAGAACAAGCTACAGTGGTTGTGATATTAAGAGAGGTCCCTTGGGTTTCTCTGGTGCTTATCAATAGTAGCAGTTAAGTGAATACTGTTCAAACAATACCTGTGTTTGTGTTTTATATTGATTTCTCTGTTTTATCCTTTCATAAATGTAAGGACTACAAATGGCTATAAACATTCTGGGCTGGTTGGAGTAAACAGGGTTTTATGGCTCTGTGGGGGAGGTGTAGGTATGCAGGCCTTGAGACCTTTTGTTGGAAAGTGAGCCTGTTTGGTTTCCTGCTGCGTTTCCTGCTGCGTTGCGTCTCCCAATGAGATGACCTGAAAAGATGACCAGCTGACCTAACACCAAACCCCTCCTTCTTACTCTGGTATATATCCGGAGGATCCCTGGCGTTCGGCCTCTTCTTCACATGCTGCCCTCGGGTGAAAGTAGCTCTGCAGTATGCGGACCAGGGCAGGAGTAAGCCGGCATTACTCCTTAAGCATTACAATATAACTGTAATATATCATGTTGTATTGTAATGATTGTATTGCATTGTCATATTGCCATTAAAGTAGATTATTGTTAACTGTTACTTTGTAGATATGGATTCCTTCCTGTATTATAACCAGCTTCATAGGAACGCGCGGAGATTTGAAAAGCGGACCAGTTATCCCTCCAAATCTCTAACAAAATGGTGACCCGACGTCTAGAGATAACGAAGCTGAGGAAGAATTCAGACGCTTTCAAACATCTCAGACAATCAGCAGGACTCTGCAACTTTGCAAATAAGGTAAGCAGACGATGAAAGTCGCCTGTCTGTAATTGGATACGCTAAAACTTTAGGATTGTCTGTAGGCGTTTCACAGTGTTTTTATAGTTTAAATGGAATATACAATGCATATTTTACTATGTTAGGAAAGTTATATACAAAACGTAAACGTGGATCGACAGGTAGACGAAAGTCCTGCGTGACGTAAAATAGAGCAGTTTGGCGCGGATCTGCAGGTAGTTTATTCCTGAGTGGCGTAGAGATGGTGCAGTTTGTGTGAATGCGAGGTTTGAATCCTGCACGGCAAAACCTGGAAACTCGATAAATCAGATCGAGTCGCCGTTTAAAACTGGGGTTTAAATAACAGACCAATGCTAAAAGCTTAAGCCAGAGGTCTGTTATATATTAAACCAAGGTAGAGCGTTTCCCTTTGTCTGGAAACTTCTGCTGCTGCCATCTAGTGGCTGAAAGGGGGTATCACACCCTTGAAACTTCTGCTGCTGCCATCTAGTGGCTGAAAGGGGGTATCACACCCTTGAAACTTCTGCTGCTGCCATCTAGTGGCTGAAAGGGGGTATCACACCCTTGAAACTTATGCGAGCTTAGAGTTTAATCATTACATTGCTGGCCGGTATTGTTTGGTAAACTGGTACAAAACAATAAGGGATTGAACATTTTTTACAACGACAGCACCAGGAGATGAGTAAACTCAAGAATCTGTAGAGTGTAAATACATTGTGCAAAACACATTTTACACTCGAACTGTTTGCAAATGTAGACAATATAAATAAATGTTCAGAAAGAAGACATAGGCCTACACTTGATTCAAATTTCATTACTGTGATCCGATTGGTGTGCTCTGCAGGTTTACTATTGTTCGAAGTAACAGTGGGATTTAAAATGAGAGAAGATATGGAGATGTTCTTTCATAGTGTGTGGAATATGTGATGCTGGAAACATGTAAGTATTTCAGAGTTGTGTTGGGTAAATATGTAACAATGGATGAAACAATTTTTGGAGTGAGTTTTTGTAATATCATAAGTAGACATTAATTATGTTGTTTAGATGGCATTTAACAACTAAGACAGATAGTATGATTAGAAAGAGACAGAGTGGAAAGGGTTGGATTTATTTAACATCAGTGGGCTAGACTTCTTATAGGTAATGTGTACCGGGACCTGGACTCCCCCTCTGAGTTAGAAAGGCTTTGATCCCGACCCTCCAAGCAGACAACGAGACCTAACCCAACAGGAGACTCCTCCTTCTCCATCGTACAGACAGAGAACCAGAGCTAACCAACAACAACAACAAGACTACATCAAGACTGCAGCCAGAACTATCTCCACCTGTGGCATCCAGAACCAAACCAGCATGCTGACATACAGAGAGATACTCTCATCGGTCCCTCAAACAGGACATGAAGTTCCAAACTGCGCCGCGAGATTTGGCACAATAGACATGAGAGCAGAATCCGCCCTCCATAAAAACAGCAGAGAGACTGTAAAGGAGGAGTGCAACAACAGTGGCATGATGGGGCTGCAGATGTGACTGGGCCAATGGCTGCCTACAAAAGTTACAGCGGATGGATTCAACAGCTGATGGACTGAAGAGAAGACAGAATCAGAGGAGTTGGCATGGTCGATTAGAAGTGAGGAGGCCGGGGTCACGGCTTGAGAAAACCAGGGGAGGAGGAAAGGAGAACGGGAATCAGTGAGTTACACATAAACACACTTATTCACGAAACGCACATTTAAATAACTTGAATTAACTTCATAAAGACAGAAAGATTTATTAATCATTTGGTAAATTAAAAATAGCAGTAAAGAGGAAACTATTAAAGTAAAATGATAATCATCCTAAAACACACTGACAGAGTAGAACCATATTCTTCAATATTTTCATCATGTTAACAATTCATTCTTTAAGACATTTTTTATTCACGTGTGAATAAAGTAGCGGTCTCATTGGTTACAATATTGATCACCATTAAAAGGATAGTTTTAGGAACCACTCTATAGGACAAATCTTTGTTTGTATTAATGGCTAGTGCCAAGCCACATATTAAATTCCAATCTAAAGTGTTGATTTCACCATTGTGGCATAGTTATTACCAGACTTCGGTTTTAAATCCTTGATAAAGGAGGGAGTAATTGTTGCATGTTCGGACACCCAAGGTTCCACACACTGCTAAAGAGTTTAACATCGTTTTTTAAGTAGACCAGAATTATAATGAGCTATGAAATGCAGAGCGACACAGATCCTAGTAATGTTTTGACTCAAGATAATAGTTATTGTACAAAAGTTTCTGAAATAGATCATTAGACATTTTAATTAGTAGTGGTACTCGAAGGAAGTGAGTTTTGTACCAAGTTTCAGGAAAAGTGGGAGGCGGAAGTCCCAATGACAAGTGAGAATCATCTTGAAAATTATAGTTGAAATCGTGACATATTTTTGTAGACAAAGGATACTGGCCTATGCTGAAATGTCAAAGTCTCTGCAGAGCACGACACATGGCCAAAAAAGACGGAGACCAACTGACCTTTGACCCTGACCGACAGTGTAACTTGACAAGGCACTGTGGATGACTGACTCTGGGGTGAACCTGACCAAACTTGACATGACGACCAGACAGTGTGAGTGTGAATGAATGCCGGCATGTGATCAGTGTAACTGCATGATTCTAAAACAATAACTAACCAAGCATGTTTTTGGACTAACATATTATTTTGGAGCTCCAAGGGAAACGAGAGGTTTCCTAAAAATTCCACAAAAAGGGGAAACCGCACATGTGATATTTTCCTCTCACATGAGTTGGCGGTTTGCAAATGTAAAACTACAATCTGAAGATTCTGTTTCTTTTAGGCCTGAAGGACGGAGAGGAACACTTCTTTTCACTGAAGTGTTCACTGTGGAAATAATGATAATAATGTTCGTTATGTTCCTAACCAATTACCTGACAGTTTTTGTTCCCCTCCCATTACAGGCTTTTGTTACACATTATTTCATGTGTAAAAGGGGGGAGTGAGTATAATGTATAAATGTCAACATGGCTGTAAAATTCACAATTTAAATTTTTCTTTTAAGGATTGACAGAAACCTTCCGCCCCAACCCAGATGTTCAAACTGAGCATTGAATGTAATTAACCTGCTCCATATCTGGGGATAAGATACTGTTTGATGAAGGTTGAGATGTTTCTAAATATTGATTTGAATTATAACAGGTAACAAAGAAGCAGTGGCCAAGGGGCTACTGTGAAACCGAAGAAGTTGACCTGTGATAGTTAAACAATTTTGTAATATTTTAACAGACATTAGAGTAACTGAGGTTTGAAATGTAGAAAGAACATATTACAGTTAAAGCTAAAACATAGTAGTGTATTGAGACAGAATTTAATTTAGACAACATCATGTAACTAGCCTGGTAAAGAAGTAAAAGCCATAGACTTTATTGTTTAGGTCATTATGGGGATATACATTTCATCTAAATTTATAATAGAAAGACATTTGATGACAGTTTGTTGGAATTCTGTATTCATTTTTTCAGCGTGATAATATCTAAGCACTGACAGGTAGAAGCAGTATCACCAGGAAATCATTCACTTTGTTAGCATCGTGATTTTGGTTGTTTTTGAATCCATAACATTAGTGTGTTTCTTTACCAGAAACATTAGCAGTTCATATTATATTTAGATTTTAAATAGGATTTCATTTAAAAATAAACACGGATGCTTGTCAGAAATTCAGAGCTATTGAAATATGTTATTTAGTTTACCTAAAGATGTTGAGGTTCTTATTTAGTTGGCACAATCCAAGTATTAAGATTCTGAAGCTGCACGGGCAGATAGGAGGTCTACAATTAATTTGGAAAACCTGTTCACAGACGGCTGTTGTTTCAAGACACCCCACCAAGAGGCTCCAAGTGGGGCAAAACAGCTGAGCGTAGGCTTGAGGGAGTTGTATCAGATTTCTCCACACAGGTCACTGGCGCCAAAAGGGGGACCCGAGAAGCACGAGGACAAAGTGGCTCAACCCCAGGCTCTCCGACCCCGACCGAGTGACCCAGCGGACCTCTTATGCCGTCTGCCTGGGAGAAAAGGGGGACAGCTCGTACCACGGGAGCCAGTGTGCGGCGGGGAAACCACCTACTAGGACCAGGGGACGACATCAGGACGGACGTGGCCCTGGCAGACGTGGACTACTCGGAAGCAGCGGACTGGAGAAGGAGGACCCTGGAGACATCCTTACAGCAGACGACCCGGGAGGCATCATCAGCGGGCCGGAGAAGGAGGATCGGGAAGACATCTCTACAGAATCGACCCGGAAGCCGCCATCAGCGGCCGGAGGACGAGGAGGAGGAAGACATCTCTCTAGCAGGCAGCCCAGAAGCTGCTGTCAGCGGATTGGGTGGACAAAGACACGGCAAGCCGGGACGGCGCAGCAGAGGAGTCTACTTCGCTCTGATCAGTTCTACCCGTGAAGGGAAAGCTGCATCTCCCCCTCCCTATTAGCTGTCCTTGTGGGCTATTCCTCCGAGGGGGGGGGGGGGGGGTGATGATTCTAGCACTCAGCTACCCCCTCATGGTTCCTTCACTGCCATGGAAAGTGGTGTTCTGTCTCCATGAAGGTTTCAAGTACTCTAAATACCAGCTTCGGATGGATTTATGGACACAGTAGAAAATAATGACAGTGGGTATATTTCAAAATGCCTTGTCTAAGTTTATCTCTGGAGAAGGAGATAAAAAGGGGGATTTGTAGAGTTATATTTGTATTTATTCATGTTAGCAAACTATGGATAAGCTTAAAATGGGAATAATTTGGGTAAAACTGTGAGCTGCATTTGGGGCCTGTTGACATGTGTTTTTGAGGACAAAGGAAGATGGGGGAAGGTGAGAGCATGTCCTGATTTGCATTCAACTTAGAACGAGCTACAGTGGTTGTGCTATTAAGAGAGGTCCCTTGGGTTTCTCTGGTGGTTATCAACAGTAGCAGTTAAGTGAATACTGTTCAAACAATACCTGTGTTTGTGTTTTATATTGATTTCTCTGTTTTATCCTTTCATAAATGTAAGGACTACAAATGGCTATAAACATTCTGGGCTGGTTGGAGTAAACAGGGTTTTATTGCTCTGTGGGGGAGGTGTAGGTATGCAGGCCTTGAGACCTTTTGTTGGAAAGTGAGCCGGTTTGGTTTCCTGCTGGCCAGCGTTGCGTCTCCCAATGAGATGACCTGAAAAGATGACCAGCTGACCTAACGCCAGACCCCTCCTTCTTACTCTGGTATATATCCGGAGGATCCCTGGCGTTCGGCCTCTTCTTCACATGCTGCCCTCGGGTGAAAGTAGCTCTGCAGTATGCGGACTAGGGCAGGAGTAAGCCGGCATTACTCCTTAAGCATTACAATATAACTGTAATATATCATGTTGTATTGTAATGATTGTATTGCATTGTCATATTGCCATTAAAGTAGATTATTGTTAACGGTTACTTTGTAGATATGGATTCCTTCCTGTATTATAACCAGCTTCATAGGAACGCGCGGAGATTTGAAAAGCGGATCAGATATCCCTTTAAATCTCCAACAATGTGCATGGATTGCACACACAATGAGTAATCTATTGATTACATTGACAAAGATCCAGCACTGGATCAACACAATATTTCATCATATCTCTAGACCAGGGGTCGGCACCCCCTGGCACGTATGCCACAATTGGCACGCGGCACCATAACCAGTGGCACACTAGGAATAAGTGGAATCAGTGTGCAAAATATTTAAATTGTATTTTCGGATCCTGAACGAGACCGCCGCCAGAGCGCGTCTCCCCGTTACAGAAGGAAGCCATGCACGCAACGCAGCCCCGCTCTCTTTAACTCCAGGTGACTTTCTGCCGCTTTCCCGTGGTGCAGCGCTGATAGTTTCACCACGAAGGAAAGCACTGCTGCCGCGCCGGCACTTAACAAATTGCAGTACCCATAAGGAGCTGTACAAATGCCGCAATTTTTGCGTGGCTGTGTCTTTAGTTGAAAGCCCAGTGGCGATTTGCTCATCTCTCAACAAAATAATATGCTACAAAGGGGCGGACTGGCCATCTGTGGCATCTGGCATTATTATTATGCCGTTTGAACCAATTATTTAAATGTGTTTAAACGGCATCATGTAAGTTGCGCTGAAAGAAAGAGGTCCACACACTGCTTCCCGCCCTCGTGTTTACAGTTCACGAGTGTTGAGCTTATCACCCCCCCCCCCGTTGTCAATTCACGATCGTCGGCACGCTGATCAAAACATAAAAAATGTTGAATGCTACTTCATATCAAAAAGGTTGCCGACCCCTGCTCTAGACCCTTGCTCTGTGGCATTTTGCATCGTTTTGCAAACTCTAAACAAAAAATGAGGCCAACTTATTGGCATCATTTGAAACACCACATGACCTTGCATTTTGTAACACAGAGTGCACTGTAGCTCCTCATTATGAAAGATACAAGTTAAGGTAAATCCAAAAGCTTTTTGAATAATATGAATGTAGCGACCACCAATAGTTGCTCCCATAACAGTTTAACCAATAACAATGTGTATACCAGGAAGATCACCAAAAACAAAACAAAATATATCGTTGTTTTCTGAGAAATTATTCCAGCAGAGCTGAAGTTAGTAAAGGTACGACATGTCTACTTACAATGGAGCTCCATCAGCACGAGAAGTCAGGAAGACGAAGGCCAGAGAGGCCAGCAGCCACAGCAGAGTCTTCCTCATCCTCCTACCTGATCCTGATCCGCTGTCAGTGAAGTGGTGCAGCATCCTCCTTTTATCCTCTCACTGCCCCACTGCCACCTCACCTCACATAGTCTTTCTGTACACACGTACGAACACAACCACATACACACCATTTCCTAGCAGCAGTTGAGAAACTGATAAACATGAGGTCCACTTTGAGGAAAAAGATAAACAGTAGAAAATCAATAAGGGGTTAACATGTTTGACTAACTTTGGAGCATAAAGTTGAATGACCAGTTCAAAATTGCTACCAAATAACTATTCTGCATTTATGTTTCTTTCTAAATGTGACAACTTGTTCTTCTTTTCTTGTTTGGGAAATGTTACTAATGTTTAATTATTATACAGTACTGTAGCATTCAGTCTGCCAACAGTCAATGTTAGAGGAAAAAGAAAGAAAGCTGCCAGAGGGTTTGTCCATCATGTTGGAGGGAGAGGGTTTGTGCTTATTGGATTCAATCCAAAAGGACTTATACACATTTTAAATCACATTCATTAAAAGGGCACATTTTTCATTTGACATTTATCAGTTGGCCAGATTTACAGCCTATCAAAAATTCAAAGTTGGTTTCAATTGTTGTTTTTGACCTTTAAAAGTTTGACACCATTGTTTGGTCTCACATATCTTATGAGTTTACACCTAACAGGAAAGTAAGAAAAGTAAATGATTCTGTCTACAACTGCTATATTAGAGTAAGCTTATCTCTCTACAATTTGACATTAACATCACATCTTGCCTGGAGAGTTTTGGATTACAGCAACATATCGATTTTCCGACTCATTCCAAAGGACATATTCTGGACTTGATCTGCTGTTCTGGTGTCACTCCTCTTAAATGTACTGCAACTGATCTTCCCATTTCTGATCACTCATTAATATCCTTTACTGTCACCTTAACACTGTCCAAACCAAATTTGTCACGTGTTATTTCCTTCCGCAACATCAAGGATATTAATGTAACTACACTCTCCAGTGGCATTGACAACCTCCCCAGCATAAATTGTTCATCCCCGCCTGATGAACTGGTTTCTCATTACAATAACAATCTTCATAAACTGCTCAATACCCTGGCTCCTTTAAAAACCCGGTCTGTTTCCTTCACCCATTCTGCTCCATGGTTTACACCTGAACTACGCCAACTCAAAACAAAAGGCCGTCGATTGGAACGCCTCTGCAAAAAAACTGGACTTGTCGTTCACAAAGAGATGTACAATAACCACATTCTCCACTACAAGGACACTCTCTCTACAGCCAAATCATCATACTACGCAGTTCTCATCAGCTCTGGCGAAGGGAACACAAGGGTCCTGTTCTCTACAGTGAAGAACATTCTACGACCACCGGACTCTCTTGCACCTCATCAGTATTCAACTGCCTACTGTAACTCCCTCATGTCATTTTTTAATGACAAAATAGAAAACATTCACCAGCAACTAACTCCTAACACCACCTGCAGTATATCTCTCCCTGTTTTCACCGACCATCTCTCTCATTCTCTTTCAAGTTTCACACTTCCCTCTGCTGTTGTAATATCTGACCTCATCAGTAAATCCAAGCCATCTACCTGTCAGTTAGACCCTCTTCCTACCCCACTGGTAAAAGCCTGTCTACCTTCATTGTCCTCCCTTATTACTGTCATCATACATTCCTCCCTCACCTCTGGTCTTGTTCCCTCACTTTTCAAATCAGCCGCCATCACGCCCATACTGAAGAAACCTGGTGCAGACCCCAACAACTTTAATAACTACCGTCCCATATCTAACCTACCATTTCTCTCAAAAATCCTGGAAAAAACTGTTGCATCCCAAATCCATACCCACTTGTCTGACAATAACCTGTATGAACAATTTCAATCTGGTTTCCGCCCCCATCACAGCACAGAAACAGCACTGGTGAAAATCACTAACGACCTCCTCATGGCAGCTGACTCCGGACTACTAACTATCCTCATCCTCCTTGATCTTAGTGCAGCTTTTGACACCATTTCCCACAGCATCCTCATTGACAGACTGACCTCCATCGGGATCACTGACACACCCCTCCTCTGGTTTAAATCATATCTCTCTGGCCGCACTCAGTTCATCCAACTCAAAACCTTCAAATCACAGCCACTTCCAGTCACAACCGGTGTTCCCCAGGGCTCTGTCCTGGGGCCTCTTCTTTTTATCATCTATTTACTTCCTCTTGGCAATATCTTCCGTAAACACAACATCCACTTTCATTGTTACGCGGATGACACCCAGCTCTACTTGTCCTCCAAACCAACCACCATCCTCCCTCCATCCTCCCTGTCTGACTGCTTACAGGACATCAAATCCTGGTTTTCCTCTAACTTTCTCAAACTTAACGACAGTAAAACCGAGGTTCTCCTCATTGGCTCAAAATCTACCCTAACCAAACCTGACAGTTTTTCAATTACTATAGACAACTCTTCAGTCTCCCCCTCCCCTCAGGTTAAGAGTCTGGGTGTCATCCTCGACGGCACACTTTCATTCAAATCTCACATCAGTAATATCACTCGGTCTGCCTATTTCCATCTACGCAACATCAACCGCCTCCGGCCGTCCCTTAACCCTAAGACCACCGCCATTCTTGTTCACACCCTGGTCACTTCCCGCATCGACTACTGCAACTCCCTTCTCTTTGGTCTCCCTCTCAAATCCATCCACAGACTTCAACTGGTTCAGAACTCTGCCGCCCGCATCATCACCAGAACCCCCTCCATTAACCACATCACTCCTGTTCTTCAGCAACTTCACTGGCTCCCCGTCAAATCCCGTATCGTTTTTAAGATTCTGCTCCTCACCTTTAAGGCCATCCATAACCTCACTCCTCTGTACCTCTCCGACCTCCTGCACATCAACACACCCATCCGCACTCTCAGGTCTCCTGCTTCCCTCAGCCTCACTGCACCCCCCTTCCGCTTCACCACCATGGGGTCTAGAGCCTTCAGCCGCTCTGCACCCCGCCTCTGGAACTCCCTCCCACCTGACATCCGCAACACTGACTCTCTCCCCATTTTCAAATCACGCCTCAAAACATATCTCTTCACACTCGCATATCCACCCTGATCATTATCCATCACACATCCTCTGTTTTATTTATTTGATTCGTTGCATTGTCTTGTTTATGTTTCTTATGCTGGTGTTAGGTATTGTGTATCTTGTTTTTTTATGTGTTTGTACGGCGACCTTGAGAGCCTTGAAAGGCGCCTATATAAAATAAATGAATTATTATTATTATTATTATTAAGTCTTCATGCTTCCATTCATTCTTGATAAGCCCCATACTGTGATCAAAACTTCTGAAGCAATGGAGCCTGTCTCCATTGCATCACTCAGAGAGATACGAGGAGAGCAGGAACTTTGATGGCAAACACTGACGGTTTATTTGGAGCTTTGGCCGGAGAATTCACAAGACATGTGCTGAGCCACGAGTTGACACAGCAGTTGCCAAACCAATTCTGAAGATCTCTACCCCAGACCCATATATTTAGCTGGTTCTGAGAGAATAATCAACAACATTGTGCATAACAAGATAAAGCACTATAACACCTCTATCAGCTGACGCCAACAGGCAGAATAGGGAGACAAAACGCTGAGAGCACAGCAGCCCAAGGTTGCAGGAGCTCATTGTACAAACTGATAAACTGGCTCAACGTTATGGGCCTAGGAAAAATAGTTCCCCAACAGTTCTATACCTTTTTATCAATGTTGATAAACAAAACATACCCCAATAATGACATTTTTCAAATCACTAATACATTAGATTCTTCAGAAAGGGTGTTGGCATTCCACTCATTTGAAAACAAACATATAATAAAACATTTCAGATTGAAACAGTCAATCACAATCCTACAAAAATATATTCCATAGTGTTTGGAGCAAAAGTATAACAATTAACATACATGAAATAAGACAGGAATACAATAACACAAATCATTTAATCCAAGCAAACTTTATCATGTATTTATCAATTAGCAATATTATAAATGTGTATTATCAATGTAGTAGATTCAAATCTTACTCATTACCCTATTTAAAAGACTTTGTACGAATAAAGGTATTCTGATTCTGAAGCTAAACACCTTTTATTTGATCAATTACCCGGCACTATAAATAATCCAAGATTTTGATTTAAAAGGCTATATATTTTAAAGTATTCAGTCTATATATGTAACATTGTAGAACTATCTGACACGATGGGCTCACAGGAACTCAGACGCACGATTCAGTTTCAAATAAAAAATGGTCTTAAAAATATATACATTTATTAGGCACTCTGAATAAGGGTTGACTGTGTAATAATCATGCCTGTTATTAATGTCAAATGTTATATGTTGTATTATATAACAAAATAGACATTTATAACATATTATAAATGTCTATCTTTAAATAAAAATATTAAATAGATACCTTTACATCCTAAACAGAAGGTCAAAATGTTAATATGTTAGGAATTCATATTCTTTCACACACACATACGGGGATTGGGCCGAGGGCGACACCGTACTTCCGGTATCTGCCATTTTACGCGAGGTGCAAGCAGGCCGAGGGTTTAGCCGTACACCGTCTAGGTGTTGCTAAGCTTCCTGTACTGAATATCATAGTCTATTGCCTTAATCAATATCTAGTCAACTCTAAAATACCACATATATGCAATGGCATGATAATATTATTGTGACAAGTGGGGTATTCACCTGGTGTTTCCAGAAGATAGACGTAGATGCAGCCAAAATTGACGAAGGCCACTTTCGAGGGTCGTTTTTCCATACATCTGCAGGCAGTCTGTAAGGGCAATCCGACAACCCACACAGCTCTAGTTTACGCTGGTAACGACCTGGAGCACACCCCTCAAGTCCAGAGATGTAATCCGAAGACATGCAGCGATTTCTTCGGTCGTTAATTCAGAAAAAAAACCTAGTGCGCTCTGCCTGGTTACGTTAGCTAGCTGTTTATATTAGCACTTCCAGGATATTTGCACCTCCAGGAAAATGACGTATTTATATATATATATATATATATGGCGCGCGTTGCATTG